TTCAAGTTTGTTTCCCAATTTAAAACATTTAGAAATTCCAAAACTGGAAACAATTTTTGTTGGTGATTTGCATCTCTCTGTGTCTTGGGCAACTTTCAAGCTTAACAATCCAAATGTGAAGAAAATAGAAATTAATAATTACGAAGATTGTGACGAAATTTATTATATTGAAAGTGATGAAGAAAGTGCAAATTTTGATTCTCATTAATTACTAATCTGAAACAATTCTCATTTAGATAATTTCGACAAAGACTGAAAAGAATAAAAAAATCTCAAACAATTAAAATTTGTTAAACGTAAAATTATTTTAAAAAATAAATTTTTACTAGTTTTATTGACCTTTTCTGATTTTGTGACTAAGAATTTATTTTGTTTATAATACTCAAAATGATTCGTTGCAAAAGTTTCTCGTCAATTTCATCTTCCAAGTTCTCATTAGCAAAGTTAACAATTTCGTTCACCATTTCATCGACATTTACATTTCTTGCGTGGATTGCTTTAAGTTTCGATAATCTTTCAATAATTTCTGTTGTACATTCGGGACTTGAAATGTCATCAATGCGCATTGTGATGATCATTTGTTGGAAAATGTTTGTGAGAATAAATGGAAGATAAGAATCGGAAGCAATTGCTGATTGACTTGCTGTTTCAATCGTGCTGTTGATAATCGCTTTCATCACTTCACTTTGACTTAAATTGTTTGGTTCATTGAAATTCCCAACGATTTTTGCTACAAGTTTTGCAATATTTTCCGGTGAAACGTGAACGGAATTTGGTATAAAATTACTGAAATTTTTGATAATTTCAGGCAAGGTTTCATCTAATTCAACAGATGGAAAAGTTAAAGCGACATTTGTGAGATATTTTGACAAATTCAATGAAACATTTTCAACTTCAACTTCTTCCAGTTGATCAGCTAAATTTTCTTCCACAAACTTCTTGACACTTTTCAGAATGTCATTTAAAGCTTCTTGATCGGGTGAAGTTGCTCGTGTTGAAGACAAAATTGATTCATCAGGATTAGAACAAATTGAATCTTCGAAGCGACTGTCACGACGTAATTGTGTGACGCTGTAAGTCAATGGATCGAACTTTTGACGAATATTAACAAATGATTTCGATTTCAAACTCAAAGCACGAATCTCTCGTTGCAACATTTCAATTTGTTCTTTCTGATGATTGCTGATCTCTTTAAGTTTACTCAAATCATTTTCATCTTCATGATATGACTGAACTTCCTTCTTACGCGCTTGATTCATTAAAATTCTATGCAAGAAATTCTTCTCTTCCTCAAGAACAGTCAAAATGTTGAGCTTTTCTGTTGCTTCCTGAATCACTCGATTTAAATTTTCTTCTTTATTCATTTTACTTTTCTTCAATTCATTAATCTTGTTCGAATAATGTCGTTTGATATCTTCAGAATTTGCACGCATCTCAACTTGCATATCAAACGCAAACTTTCTTAAAATCGTCTCTTCAACTTCATTCAAATCAACAATCCGACCAAACTTCTTCAGCATTGCTTGACTCGTCTCATCTTTCAGATCTGTGATTTGTTTCTCCATAAACTTAATGTCAGTTTTCATCTTAGCTAAGTGAATGACATTAATTCGGTGCTTTCTTTTAGCTTCAATTGTTTCAAGTGCAAGTTTTCCGACACGAGCATAAAGCTTTGTGAGATTCTGATTGTTAAATAAAAGCGTGCTTTCAATATCAGCAAATTCCTTCTCGTTCTTGAAATATTGAAGTTGATCCATCTTCAGAACTATGACAGTGTCAACATCATTCAATTGTTGCTGTTTTCGTTGCCGAAGTTCCACGAGTTTCGTTCTATTTCGTTCGTAATCATCTTCAGCCTTCTTTTGTCGTTGTGTCGTCATATCAAGATCAGCTTGAATTGATTCAATTTCATTTTTTTTCGTGATAATTGCATCTTCAAGACTGTCACGTTCATGTCGAAGTTGAAAGACTAAATCGTAAAGATTTTGATCGCAGTTCTTTGGACATTTGTCTTCGCTGAGATTCTCTAAGCTTAAACTCACATCCAGTTGACTTCCTTTCAAAGATTCTGACTTTTCTGAGCCAGAACTTTTTCCTTCCACCCAACAATCATTGTCGCAATTTTCATGCAACTTTTTCTTATAAATTTTCTTAAAGAAAAACGCAAAACTATTGTCCAAACATTTCAAGCGAAACTTTTGATCAACTCTTTTCTTTGATTCTTTCAACTCTTCAAAATGTTGTTTAATCATTTCAATTTCACTTTGTGCTTGCATGATTCGATTCATTAAATATTTTCTCTCAGCATTTTTATTGTCGACAATTTCAATGAGAACATTTTCTGTCGTTTCAAAGTCTTTGAGGATCATCAGCTCATTGTTGAGTGTCAACAAGAAAAGTTCCTTAAACTTGGCTTTAACTTCAACGTCATATCTTTCATTTGACAATTCCTCAATCTCGTGGTCAAATTCAAAAACTTTTAATTTA